GCCACTACATCACAAATGAGAATTCCACCACGCTAAAAAAATACCAAGTCTCGTTACTCCATCAACCCAAACCTGAACGTCCATAGACCGATTGCCTTTCCTCTGTTGGAATTTAATGCCGAACCTCTAAATCATGCACCGAAAAATCCTCTTTCAAGTCATTCGCTGCTTCGACATATAAACAAGCACTTCACCATTATACCAACATTGTGTGATAACAACGCCTAGACATCGTAGCAACCTATGCACAGTAAACCATAGAAAATACAGATACTGACTGGAACAAAAGAACATCCTTCCGCAAGGTGACGATAATAGCATGCTCGAACACATAGGGAAAAACATCCTGCACCACATCTGCAGTACCACTACAACACCTCGACGCCCAATCAATAAGAAGTGCCCCACTTTGGGTAAGATTAAGTAGGAAGGAAATAAAGACACAAGCCTCAATGAAATCAAAACGCACGATGAGGAAATCAAGAGGGAAATGCGCCTAATAGCCATGTAGCCTCTCGAAGATAAGTACAAATATCTACGTACCGATCCGCAAGACTCTACTAGACTTTCTCATTACTCGTGAGACCTAAGTCAACATAACGCTTTGATACCAACCTGTCATAACCCAAAATCCACTAAAGGTCGTGATGTCGCCAAACACCGCCGTCAGGCAAGCCAACGATGATTGAACAACTTAATTACTCATTTTAGTATTTTAAAATCATAATTTTCACTAATTAAACAGTATCAAATAACATTTACAGGGTAAATAATAATGTTTACACGAACCACAATAATGAACAACCCAGAGGAACCTCCAAAATCCGGTGTCACAAGTGCATGAGCATCAACTAGTAAATATAATAAACTACAACATCTGTCTGGAATACAAATTAGACAGGAGAATATAAATAACTCTGATGAAGACTGCAGGTTGCGGATCATAACATGAAATGCAGCTCACGGTAAAATCCCCGCAATAGTCGCGTCTCTGCACCCAAAAGACCACCAGACACATATGTACCTGCACAAAAAGTGCAACAACTGTAGCTTGAGTAGGTAAATCAATGCGTGCCTAATAAGTATTCAGCCTAAGAAGTAGTGACGAGGGGTCGACATCGACACTTACTAGTAGTCCAATAAGACACATACAATAGAAGTAAACAGATGAGAGTCAGAGTAAATAAAAGAAATAACAAGTATAAATACGTGGTACAATTCTCCTCTCAGCAATAACTCAAACTCTCAGCTAGTAGTTGCCTCCTCAATCAGAGTATATATAATGGACCTCGCTAGATAGGTCGTCGCAGTTCAAATTAGGAAAACTCGCAGATATGCTGGCTTCTTGTCAATTATTACTCAGGATTTCATAAAAGTATTTTATAGGAATGTCGAGGCGTACAGCTTGATCCCATCATAATATGTGCACTGCCGAGGGTCGAACGGCGCCAACCATAGATACATCTATTATATTGCTGAGGCGAATGGTCCGCTCCCATGATAGTGTGATACATAATCTTGCCGAGGGCGTACGGCCTGATCCCATCATAATGTGTGCACTGCCGAGGGTCAAACATCATGAACCATATATGTATCTATTATAGTGCAGAGGCGAACATCTCGATCCCATTAGAATAAGAAGCTTTAACGGGTCATTGACCCATCTCACTAATAGACATGTGAGTTATATATTTTAAGGGAAACCTTTCGATGAAAACACATAATGCTAAAGAAATTCGTAAGAGGAGTACAATTATTTTGCGGCTAATCATGAAGCCCGTCGAATCTCTACCATAGCATGTCTATCACTCTACGCAAGCCTCGTCTCAGGTCGTAATGTAAAATAAAGGAATTTAATAGGCAAGGGACAACTCAAATAGTACAGCTATAGGATGGTGTTAACCTAAGTCTACCCGGACAATACCATGGATTTAGCTACGTACAAACTCTCGTCACCTCGTGTATATGTAGCCCCTGCAACAAGTAGCACATACCAAATACATCATCTAGGGGTAGTTTACCACTCACAGAGTTAGACAGGAGACTTACCTCGCTCTGAAGTTCTATAATCGGCTCCAACGCCACTATAATACTCAACTCCAAGCGAAACGATCCGAAACTAGTCAAACAATGTGCAAATAGATCAAAATATACTCCGGTGCTTACAAATTAACAACTTACAACAATTCCCATCTCCGCTCGAAAAGTCAATAAAGTCAATCCCTCGGGACCACGTGCCCGGATTTCGAATTTTCGAGGATAAATTTTACCCTTAACACCACGAACTTAAATATAATTTATCCCAATTTCCATGCCCAATTTCATGGTCAAAATCCAAAAATACCAATTTCTAGATTTTTTACCAAAATTCTAAATTTTTACTAATTTTCATATTTAAATTCATATACGAACCGTGTTTTTAACTTGTAATAGGTGAGAATCACTTACCTTGTATTGTTTGATGAAAACCTCCCCTTGAAGCTCTCCAAAAATCGCCCTAACCAAGTGTAAAAGAAGAAAAATGGGCCAAATCTTGTATAAAGCCAAGTCAGACCCAGCGACATTTTCGTATATGTGGAACAATAGCTGCTTATGCGGGCCTGCTTCTGCGGAAACAAATTTCGCTCCTGTGAAAGCCTACTGTCAGCAACCCAGCGCACCTATGGAAATTCTTTCGTTCCTGGGCAGTCGCAGGTGCGACACAGCCTCGCGCACCTGCCCAATTGCCCGTACCTGCGGCACTGGCCTCGCTTCTGCGCATACGCAGGTGCGTTGCTCGCCTCCGCTTTTGCGACCTCACGCCCAGGCTGCCCAAGTCGCTTCTGCGAGCCTCACATCGCTTCTGCGACCAAACTTTCGCAGAAGCGGTTACACCAGGCTCAAATCGATCTGAATCACGTCCGAAACTCACCTGATGCGCCCCCGGGACCCCGTGCAATCATACCAACCATGCCCAAAAAATGATGCAAACTAGCTCGAGACCTCAAATCACACCAAACAACATCCAAACTACGAATCGACGATAAAATCCTTCTTTAAACTTTCAAACTTCCAAATTTCGACGAACGCGTATGAATCATATCAAAACATTCCGGAATGATACCAAATTTGTGCACAAGTCATAAATCACAATACGAACCTATTCTAAGACTCGGAATCCCAAACGGACATCGATAACATAAAAATTCACTTCAAACCAAACTTATAAAATTCTAAAACTTTTGAAAATACGCCCCGAACATACTCAACCCGAACATACGCCCAAGTCCGTAATTATTTCGGAACCTTCAAATCTCGATTTTGAGGTCGTTTACTCAAATCTCGAAATAATCTCGATTTTGAGGTCGTTTACTCAAATTCCAAACCTTAGTGATTCTCCCAACTTAAGGCTTCCAAAATTAGAAATTTTCATCCGAAACAACTCTTAACTTCCCGAAATTCAATTCCGACCACCAGTACAAGTCATAAAGCATGAGTTGAAGCTACCCAAGGCCTCAAACTGTCGAACGTCGCGCTATAGCTCAAAACGACCGGTCGGGCCGTTACAAAAACATATCTGTGAATTAGAGAGCAGTGTGAGGTATTCACAGGCAGTGTAGTCTGTGAGGGAAAATAGAGAGTGTGAGCGATATTGCAGTAAGGTGAGAATCTTAAAAGAGGGTATTATTTCTTTTGAGTGTATAGTGGTCACTGAAGTATTTTACTCTGGACTGCTGAGTGTAAAATTGCTCATTATAGTGGATTACTTTGTTGCTCCTGGGCCTGTGATTTTTTTCCTTATTCAGAAGGGTTTTCCACGTTAAAAATCTGTGTATCCTTGTTATTCTTTTTATTCTTGTTGATTACCGTATCTCGGTAGTACATTATTATTCCGCTGTTATTACCGTAAATATTATTTCTGTTCGGTTTATTCCAAAACACTTACGAGCCTAACTAATGCAACAATCTGGTAGCGGTAAACGGATACTGCCTCTAAGCTGACGACTTTAACAAGCATAAAACTAGAAAGTATTAAGATAATCAATACAATTCCAGGATAATAAATTTAGAAGTATACCAAACTGACAGAAAACCATTTCTAAGTAGCTTACGGAATAATTAGCTTCTAGCAAACCTGAGTTAACTCAACTAAATAGGACCAACTCAATGACATTCTGTTCCGTGATACTACACTAACTTGAACTACAAAATGGACAAGGGCCTGAGCCAAACAGAAATACAGTTGTAATATATACACTTAAAAAGTTCGATATTTCGAATTATATAGAAATACCGACTCTAATACCGAATACCGAACCGAAGAATACAAATATTAATACTAATATCGAAGGAAAGTACAGAATAACAATGAACCGAATTAATTTGGTCCTGTCCGATTTTTCGATTTCTCGTTATTTATTTATGCCCACCCCTAAATTGTCCAGCGGCTTCAATACGACATTAGCATACACAGATATACATCCAAATGCCATTTATAATTCATGTTCTGGTAAGATATTCTCCAAAATCAGCCTCCCTTTCACAAACCCTGCCTGGTTTGAAGATATTAAATTTGGAAGCATATAATCGCCCAACTTGTCTAGTAATAATAGAAAAAAAACCTTATTGATGAAATTACATAGGCTTAATTATCACTTCATATATAGTCTGATAAACCTTGCGAATTACTCAATAGAAGTGTCGAGTGAACAAACTTGGTAAGATCTATCTGCTCTGCTGAAGAATAAAGGGGCAGCGCGGTGCACTAAGTTCTCGTTATGTGCGGGGTTCGGGGAAGGGCTGAAAACAAAGGTCTATTATACATATTCTTATTCACCATTCTGCAAGAGACTGTTTTCACTGCTTGAACTCGTGACCTCCTGGTCACATGATAGCAACTTTACTAGCTACGTTAGGATTCCGCCTAAGAATGATTATAAATAAATAGCAAAATAAATGTTTAATTGAGAAGGAGGCGAAGAAGAAAAGATGAACACACATAGAGATAGACACAGCGCACGCACACTATAATGAGAAAGTTTGTCCAAAAATATGAAACGCGAAAATGACAAGTGTAGCATTTTCTGACATAAACTCAAATATTATTAGCTAGCAAAGTGTTAAGAAAAGTCAACCTAATTGAGAAATTATCAAGGGCCACAAGTTTTTATCAACTTGGTTCTTTTGTCAGTGGTATTGCTGACAAAAAATGGAAGAAACATCAAAATATTTGTTGAGAGAAATGGCAATATTTATGATCACAAAGACTTTTCTTGACCTTTCATCATTTGCATTGCAAAGTACAGTACAATAGTGTTAGAAGCATTGCAACTGCAGGTTGCTTGCTTCATTCAAAAACCAAATCCCCATAAACCAAAAAAACAAAAACAAAAGGTAAAATAATAAAAAGAAAAAGGGAACCCAAGAGAAAAAAAAAACCACCCCATCCTAAGAATAATGTGACTTTAGGTAACAACAACAAATACAGCGTAATCTTATATGTGAGGTATAAAGATGGTAGTGTATACGTAGATTTTATTAATATCGTGTACACGTAAAAAAATTATTTCTGATAGACACATTGAGGTCATTATCTTTATTTCCTCTTGTTTTGCTCATCACAATCAAGAAGTTCCTCTAGCAACTTATCATCCAAACATTCAAATTCAAGAACTTCCCTCGATGATGAAGAACCAGTATAAAAATGTGAAGAGCTACTAGGCAAATTATATTCCTCAGGAAAATTAAGTATAGCTAAATGACCTCTCATTGAATAAGCTGCCCTATCATAAGCTCTTGCTGCATCTTCAGCCGTGTTATATGTCCCGAGCCATACCCGAGCCCCTTGTCGAGCCGAGTCGCGAATCTCCGCCGCGAATTTCCCCCACGGCCGCCTTCGGACGCCTCGATATTTTATCTCTCGGCCACTGCCACCATTTTTAGTCTCCATTTTTCTGCCATGGCTTGGCTCTTCATCCATGTTTATTTCATGCAGAATGAGGTGGCTAAGTAAATTTGCGCTTATAAAGGTGTTCAAAAAAGTTTGGTCTTAGTTTTGAAAAATAGAAGGTGGATAATGTGCCACGTGGAATATCCTAGGGCCCAGAAATGTTCCCACGTGTAAAAGAACCTTCTATTTAGACCAAAGTTTTAATGCAGTGTATCTGGATGGTCAACGTGATGGCTTTGAAAAAGAATTCAAGTCTTCTTTTCTTTTCATCTGCTTTTTAATTTTGCATGCATGTCTATTCTGTTCCATTTCTATTTTTAGATTTAATTGATAAAACATTAAGTTTGAAAATAACTAAAAATGTTTTAAGCAATTGGGACAAACATGAATATATGTTTGTATGAATATATGTTTGTAGTATACTGAATTAATTGATGTGAGGTCATAGGCTTAGAAACTTGGCTCTTACGTATTACGAAATAATATAAACTAGTCTTTTCTCCTATAGTATATTTAATTGTAGGGTATATATTCATTGAATAAATAATGAATTAAATACTGCCAAAAACAAATCAGTAATGGGGTAGAATTTTCAATTCTTGTACAGTGTAGGATTTTAAATGTTTAAGGTGGGAGTGCGTGTATAAATGATATTATTTATATAGATTAAAAATGGTGCTAATAAGATCAAATATATTAAGATTAGATTCGTTCGATGTAAGCTTTGAAAACTTGGCTTACGTATATAGGATGATGATTTAACTAAACTACTAAAAGGGCAGAACTACATTCATTAAAGTATTTTTTCACTATACGTAGAATCCCATTGATGGAACAATCCTGTGATCTATTCTAGCTCCTTACATTGAATTGATAATCTATTTTATAACCTAATACTAGCTAAACTTGTTTAATTTCATTGTATCAGCAATATGTGCTTTGAAGAACCTATTAAGTGGATATATTTTGAAATCATTTCTATTGAAAAAGTAAACAAAAAGATCAAACGTTGTGATCGAGATGGAAAACAGCGTATAGAGATTCCGTTGTTAGTTCTTAGAAGAAACAATTCGCATAATACAATATTGTTTTAAGGTCCTGTTTTTAAGTCCATAGCTTGTAATACCATGTTAGTTTGAGTGTCCGTATGGATTACTAAATAACCTGATTTTTTACCGTTTTCCTTAAACGTAAAGCAAATAGGCAATAAAATGAACACGGTAATTTTACGTGGAAAATCACCCGACTCAAAAGGTGCAAAAATCACGACCTACCACGTAAGATTTTCAACTCCAACTCAACTAGAACGATGAGCCAAAATGTATCAATTACAAGATTGTAATTAAATATTCTCCAGTATTCCTACTACTCCTATTTGATTCACAAGATACTGTAACTTGTAAAGCAAAATACTCATTCCAACTCACTAATTGTTTATGACACTTGATTACAACTCAATTTCCTAAAACACATTCACTAGACTGACTCGGAAGAATACAAGACAAGTACTCAACACAAATAAATGACCTATGACTCTTTAGTTGATGTGTAAAAGGATAGTTCAGAAGTCTAAAATCGATCCAATTTAAAACACAACTTGAGATCTTCTAGGAGTCCTATTCATAGTCAGCTTCTTCTTTGATAGGACTCCTACTGTTCCAAGGATTTCACAAGCTTTGGGACTTTTGTCTCTGACTGAATTATCCGTATCTTCTTGAGCAACGGCCCTTATCACTTATAGCAGGCTTCTTCCACCAAACTCGGACCTAGGTAACTTTGAGATAAAGTTACTGCCGTGTACAGACGTACAAGTATCAATCATGAGGAGCTGATCCTTTATCCTGAGGAGCTAGTTCTTCACAACAGTTAAGCAGCTATGTTGAGGACATAGTTCTTTGAGCATTTAGTCACACTTTGTTAATCATCAAAACTTCAATACTCAACAAATTCCCCCTTTTTGATGATGACAAACTTTGTACATAGCAGAACCGGATAATCACATCAAAGAACCAGATAATCATAACAAGTGATAAGGACTATTGACAGATATGTATGTTCACAACACAACCCACAATCTTCCAACCTTTATCTTCCCTCTTTTGGCATCATCGAAAACACACAAAAAATATTAGATATTAAGCACAGATAATGTAAGATTCAAGGACAAACATGCGACAACACAAGCTTAAGAAAAGGCAAATAGACTAGGCTAATGATCCAATATAGTACAAAGCAGTAAAGCAGAGCAATAGGAGACATTAAGTAGTGCCAAAAGAAGCCCAGTGCCTTGTCTTCATCATTAGAACAAAATAAACTAAGCATACTGCAAACTACTCAGACTAAGACAAAAAGGAACAAAAGATAAGGTATCACTGGAATAGCAAAAGAACTAAGGACACTGGAAAGTAACGGGGTCATGGGTGAGAAGCAGAGGGGGTCAAATATTTCACAAGGGTGGAAATCTGTTGGGAATAAGCCTCCCTATCTCTTCTAAGTTCTTCCCTGAGTTGCTTTGTTTCCTTTCTCAGCTCATTATTGTCTTCACAAAGTTTGGCATTCTCTTCAACAACCAACTCCAACCTCTTGCTGAGCTTTGCAGCCCTATTACTCCCAGGTAGAATAACAGATCTTGTGGGTCCTCTTGCGTTGATCTCCTCATACCCACACTGCTTGAGGGTAACAATATCCAAAACGTCATTGTGGTTTCCAAACTTAAGCTCAAGTAAGGCAATGTTGAGCTTGTCAAACAGCTCAGTCAACATAAAACCATAAAGCATGGCATTCTTGGGTTTGGAAGTATCTGCAGCTCTTGTCATGTGCTGAATCATCAGGCTAAGAAGATTGATAGGTCTACCAGTGTCAAGCAGCTCCATCATAACTATGTCCAATAGAGTAGCTTCATGCCTTCTCTCAGACCTCTGAAGAATGCAGGAGTTGACAAAATAAAACAGTAATTTTTGGAAGGGAGTCATATCAGTCTTGTACACTTTCTGGGGAGCATCTAGTTCAAATTTTTGGGAGAACTTCCTGGTGATCACAATGCCAGTGTTAACATCATTGTCTATGGCTGGCCATTTCTTCTTTAAGTAATTGTCAAATCCCAAGGAAGAGATATTCAGAAGCATCCCCAGCTCCTCAGCATCAAACTCCATTTCAAATACCCCTACCTTACTCTTAACTACCTTCCCATCAAATTTGAAGTTTGCATAGAACTCTACCACAGCAGGAACACATACTGGGGGAAATCTTTGACAAATATGTGCTCTCACCCCTGTAGCTCAAGTTTTTCCACCAGTTGAGCCATCCCCTTCTTATTAGTGTTCACAAGAATCTTCCCATTCAATATTTTTCTGTTCCTGAACTTTGTGAGTCGATCAACTGTAGTGGGCACATTCTTTCTTATCTTACTACTACTGGCCCTTGTAGAAGAGGTAGCAGGTTTGGTGACTTTGGCACCCTTTCTATTTGGTGTAGCATAATTAGATGGTAAGGCAGAGTTAGTCTCATCTTCTCCATCCACCTCAACAATAGGTTCCATAATTGAGACCTTCTTCTTTGGCTTCTTTGCACTTCTAGACTCCTTAATGATTTGTGAATCAACAACCTTTCTTTTACTCCTTGTGAGAGGAGTTCTAGCAGGAGGAGCCACTTATTTCTTTGTTGAGACTACTGAATTTGTAGATTTCATAGGGGTCTTCCTGGATTTCTTCCCTACCTCAGATAGTGGCACATCATCTTCATCTTTACTAACTTCCTCATCTCCACTGAAATGAGTTAACAAAGACCCTGATTATTGAGTCCTTGCCTCTTCACCAGTTTCTTCTGAAGGGGATATGACAGTGTTTCCAGTTGTCATGGAGCCTTCAAATTCCTCACTCGCATTCCCTTCTTCTTCCTCACTCTCTTCATCACCTCCTTCACTCTCACTCACTTTTTCTAGATCCTAACCCTCACTTTCAGAGTCCTCATTTTCTTTACTATGATTTTCTTCTTCTACATAGTCATTAGCCTGTTCACCTATTTTATCATATGTATCACTCTCCTTCTCATATCCAGATGCTCCCTCATTCTCACTCCTCTCTTCTTCATTGGCTATGTTTTGACCATCATGCTCCTCATGACTGTTCACAACTTCTTCTTCTTTTTCACCCCCATCATCTTCCTCATCCTTAGTCCAACTAAAAGATAGGACATCAGAAGCCTTCTTTTGCACAGGGTCTTTACTTCCTTCCTCCTCAACCACAGGCTCCACAGCCGTAGCATCTACCTCCTTCCCCAGATCCTATACACCCTTTTCTACAGTGAATTTGTCCACTGGTGGCTTCTTACTTGTGGATGGGAGAGTATCTAGGGGTGTAGCATCTATAGCAGACACCAAAACATCTGATTTGGAAGGAGGATGTCGTACCTGATCAGTAGTAACTGGAACTGATTCCCCTCGAACCACAAATTCCTTGGCTACAGTGTTACCCTGCGTAGCAGCATCAAGCACTTTCTTGACAGATTTTCTTGGAGTAGCTTTGACCTTTATTGACTTAGAGGTATTTTACATAGGAAGCCCAAGTGCTTGGGTGGTTGATTTTGGAGGATGGGATACAGTGGAGGTGGGAATGATAGGAACACTATGAAAAGTAGGAATAGGGGATGATGATGTATGTATAGTGGAGGATATCGAAGGAGAAAGAGCAGGTGTGCGTGTGGGTTCCCTTGATGGCTTGGCATTTTTCTTCGATTTGGGCTTCATGATTTTGGGTTTTGTTTCAGCATTTGTTGATGATTTTGCTTTAGAGGGTATTTGACTAACTTTAGGCATGGTGATCAAATGAGAGTCTCAAAGAATAGAAAGAGAGAATTAGTTCGTGATAATTGCTTTTGATTCTTGCTTAAGGTTTGAGAGAAATAGTGAGGTATGAGAAGCTGATCATAAGAGTCCTTTAAAGGCGTTACTCCTGATTTGACTGGAAGAGATAAGGTTACCGAATTTAAGTTCTAAGTGGATTCTTATAACGGTTACTTTGACTGTTAGGATT